TTTGCTTTTGCATAAGTTCAAAAGTGACTTTTATCAGCTGTTTTTTTTGCTCAAATGATTCTGAAGCATTGTATTCCATTTCTTGAGAAAAAAACAATTTTTTATACACGGTAAATGTTGTTATCTTTTTATATAAAACCACACATCTGTAACCAGCAGGCACAATTATCAGCAGTTATGTCACACATGTGACAGTTTCACTTTACATACCTACCAGTTCACCACTCAACGAGTCCCTACTTCCTCCTAAACCTCTACCATCACATCACTTATCTTTTGTTTTCTGATGTACGTGAAATATTCAGCTGACATCAAAGTCATCGCCGTCCGTCTTGCCCTTGCTGGAGTAGACCTTGGTTCAATCAACGATCGTATGGATATCAACATCTCCCGCCAATCTCTCAGTCGATGGCGCCATCTTTATGAAACAACCCGATCAGTGCTTTCCAATCCACAATTCTATGAACCACGAGGCCCACCGACGATCCTTTCAACCATCGAGCGTGATTTCATTGAGGAGATGCTTGAGGATGACCCCACGTTATATCTTGACGAGGTGGCCGAACGTCTTCTGCGCCAGACCGGGACCTTCATCTCCATCTCGGCTCTAGCGATTGAGATTCGAGACCGTCTAGTCCTGACCCGCAAGGTTGCTCGTACGGTGCATCCAAACCAATCGGCTATACGTCAAGGTGAATACATCTATGAGGTTGGTGGAATCAGACCAGAATGTCTGGTATTTCTAGGTTGGTCTTCCCCTTCCATCAACTTACGGTCTTGATTAATATGGCTGACCATATTCTCTTTGGTCAGATGAGAGTTCAGTAGCCAAACGAAGGCTTTATCGCAAATACGGCCGAGCTAAACGCGGTAAACGCACCAAAAGACTTGATCGACCAACCAACTCAAACCGATTCACTCTATTGCCGGCAATCTCTCTGGATGGATGTATTGCTCTGCAGGTGAAAGAGGGTTCTTTTAAGCGACGGGACTTTGAGTCTTATCTTGAAGAATGTCTGGTAAGCATCTGATCACATCACTCAATTTATAGTTTCCTGGACTCCAATCATCTGATTTCACTCATTCTTCTCTCTCAATTTGAATCGATCTCTCAATCTGAATCGATCTCTCAATCTGAATCGATCTTCTCTCTCAATCTAAATCAATCTCTCTCAATTTCACTCGTTCCTACTCGATCTGACTTGTTCCTACTCGTTCCTACTCGATTTGACTTGTTCCTACTCGATCTGACTCGATTTGACTCAATATCACCTGCTATCAATTGATATCATTCAATCTGACTCGACATCACTTGAATTCACTCGACATGACACTTGCTGGACTCTAACCCTCCCATACTCAATACCATCCAACATTCTTGTCATCTCACTCAACAAACTAACCTCAACTAGCTACCTGCAATGAACCCGTGGCCACAGGAGAACAGCTGCCTGATACTTGACAACGCTCCGATCCATCACGGTGGTGAAGTTGAAAACCTTTGTGAGCGATTTGGTGTAAGATTATTATACCTTTCACCTTATAGCCCAGAATTTAATCCGATTGAGAAAGCCTTCTCAGTAATCAAGAGCCGCTTGCGTCGAACTCGAGCACTGATTGGTGACTTAACTCCTGAAGAAGAACAAGAGATAATTTACACTACAGCAGAAGATGTCATTACACCAAAGCTAGTTAGGAGCCTCTATGAAGGATCTATATATTTGTAGTAACAGTAGGGGCTAAAGTGTTTGTGATATAGGTGCAGCTTCATGATAATCATACTTACTCAAGCCTCAAATGTTTTCAACTCTTTGTATCTGTGTTTTATTCGATCTGAGCAGCAATAAAAAACATATGTATTGCAAAAGACAATTTTGTTTGTATAAAATCATACATTTTGGGAGTGATCAACCGTAAAGTACATCAGGTAAAGTACAGGATGACAAAAGAAAAGATCACAAGAACTGGCAATCTTCACTGAGATTCCTGAGAGCAGGATTTGAAAAGAAGTATGAGGGTATGTGGTCAACAACACTCAGCGTTGAATAGGTTCAAAAGATCCCTTCAGAATCGATTCTCTGACTCGTTGACCGAATCTTGCAGCGCCTGAAATGAGTTTTCGTGCAATGGCAAGTGGAAACTCTAATGAAACCAAGGTCTTAACATTGAAGTCTTCGGCTTCGTTCACTCGAAGGTCAGTCCAATGATTGAATCCTTGAACGTGAAGCTTATTTCGAGTTTCTTTGTCGGCAGGATCGATTAATGCAAATAAAAGGAAATCTTCAAAACTGCCGCAATTGGAGCTTCTGAAGAGACGCTCATCGGTGTCTGAGATTGAGCTGATTTGTGAGCTGGTCGAGGCTGTGACTGTAGCTGGAGTATGTACTGTAGGTATAGCAGCTTGAGAAGCTTCTCCTGCCCTCCTAACCTCATCGAGTGGAGATATCCCGTTGGGTAGAACCGAAAGCCACTGTTTTTGGTGGAATGCTCAATGTTACTCCTTTCTTACCCACTCGTTTGTCTTCAATCTATAGAATAGCAGTGATTAGGTCATTTTTTGTGTAATCAAACCTCACGTAAAGCAGTGAACTGACCATGATATCGGCCCAGAGCCTAGCCTTCTCACTTGTAACTCGAAAGAAGTTTGAACTGTTGTCAACATCGTAGCATACTGAGTTGTCGCCTCTTCGATTTTGAGTCATGATCTTGCTAATGAGCTCAGAGCGCTCATTAGCTGAGCCAGATTCTGGAAGCTCGAGTTCTCTAGATGGATTTGCACTCTCGTCAATCTTCCTCTTCTTGAAGATTCGCATTGACTGGAGTTGAGATTGAATGTCGTCTCGACCTTGCTGGATAAGTGAGGGGTCTGACATCTTTAACATAAGGATTACGAAATGAGTTGGTCCGAGGTGTTGAATTGATTCGATGAACTCGTTCCATTCATCATTCTCGTCGATATTGTGAAGTGGACCAGCCCGTTTGGTTGTTCTTTCTGTAGCAATCCACACGAGTTCTTTAGGTGGATTGGGATCGGTGAGGTACATTGAAAGACTGTCAACATATTGATCCACTTGTTCCATGCCAAGACGTTTGAATTCATCAGGGCTGGTATCGAAAGGATTGATCGTAAAAGAATGTTGATGCTTCGATCCTTTTCGAGTGCTCAATACTTTCTTGTAGCTAATAGTAGATGAACCAATAACTTTGTTTGAACCTCGTTTTGATGTTGAAGAAATTGATCTGTTTTCCTTTTGTTCTTTCTCCATCCAGATCTCATAACCCACCCAAACTCGCACTTCTTTCATCCTCTCTTCATCTTCATCGGTTGAATCTTCTTTGAGAGAATTCTTCATTCCTTTTATTCTGAGGTATCGAGTGGATTTGGGCTTCTCGGGTGAATTAGGTTGAATTGGATCCTTTAGAATTTCTAATACAATCAAAGGAATAGAGTATTTAGTATTTCGATCACATCTACATAATTGACGGGCTCACCTGTGTTGATATCTTCCTCACTTGGATGGTTGCTATCGAACTCATCATAGCTGATCGGACTCTTGGCCTAGATTTCAAAAACTCTGTCAGTCCACAGTCTACATCATCAGTATAATACAAGGAGACGGACACATACCCTTTGTGCTAGCTCACCGGGATCACTTGATCCAGAAATTCTTCTCATCTTCCCTTTATCAGGAGCTGCAGGGTTCCAAAAAGGTGTGTGTGATGGTGGGAGATCATCATCACTTACAGAGTTTGATTTGACATTCTCTTGAGGACGGTGTTGGGGTTGAGCTTGTTGGATAGCTTGAGATCCTTGAGGTGCTCGAAAGGCTGGAGTTGCTCGAGGTCGAGGTCGAGGTCGAGTGTGTGGTTGTCGAGATCCTGGGAATAGCGGAGAAGTTTGGGGTACTCGAAAAGCTGGAGTTGCTCGAAGACGGCGTTGGGGTTGAGCTCGTTGGATTGCTTGAGAGCCTTGATATCCTTGAGGTGCTCGAAAGGCCTGAGACATTCGAGGTATCTTGCTTTGAGCTGATTGACTGCTGGCGTATTTTGGCCAATATCAGGATCACGATTAAACAAATTGAACAACCTCAACAAGAGGTATTCAAGTCCTCACCTGAAAGAACCACCAGCAGATGATCGGGGTTCCAAAGAGGTCAATCTATACTCAGCAGCAGCATATCAAAGTGAGATTCTTTGGTCAGTTGTATTAGAAATTGCAAGAATCAACGAGAGAGAGAGAGACTGACCTATTATGAGTCACTTTGGGTTTGGCAGGCCACTCTGGAAGAGGATCAATCACTACTGAAGAGGATTGCGAAATAGCAGGTTTTTTAGAGGATTCGATCACAACATCCGAGTCGTATTCTTCTTCTTTTTCAGATTCATAGCTTGGGGAACGAGCTCTCTCAGAGTACTCATCCGACAAATCAATATCAATGAACTCCTTTTTCTTGCGATTATCGGCCATTTTGGTGAGGTAAAGTGAGGTAAAGTAAGAATGAGATTGGATTCGAGTAAAAATGGTAAAGTGGGACAACCCTTTTATGATGTCATAACTCATGACCTGCTACAAACCTGAGGTACGTCATTGAAGCTCTCACACAAGTGAAATGAGTGCTTATCCTTGGTTACCACTGTGATATATTCATTGCGAAATCAGATCACTGTGCGCATTAAGGGCTCAATAACGTAGCAACAGCTATCAAAAGCCACTGATCATCACTATTTCACAAATACAAAAGCAAAAGCAAAAAAACCAAACGACAAAAGCAAAACACAGAAGTCCAAGCTTAGCAGGACCAGCTGTATATCCTTTTCATTCATGCGACTTTAGTCAAGGTGGGGATACAAGTTTGGGCTCCAGATATCCTCAATTCTGCCAACTCCCTCTACAACTCCGCCTGTTGAATCACCAGTCTCTCCACATTCCGCCAGCTCTTTGCATGCAGTGCCTACAACTACATGAATGTCAATCCGAAATACGCTGAGTCAATGTCAGAATGGATTGCTACTTACAACCACTTTGCTCATTACCTCCTGGCCAAGAAGCTGGGAAAGTGAAAGAACTTGCAGAAAATATGAATATTCAAAAGCATAGGGAGTTAGTGAGTTTGTAATCTCTCTCATACAATTCACGCACTATCCATTAACTTACTGATGCTTCATTGGACTTAGCTCATGCAGTTTTGTCTAGAATTTCCAGAAGCTAATTGTAAAAAGTAAAATCACAAACGCTACTTCAAGATTGGTTCAGACGTTGCTGCCCACAGTGAAGATGAATCACATCCCAATGGAACATACCAGGTCATCAAAACATTATTGTACCGCTCCAAGAACACCAGCAAGTTCTTCATGGATTAGATATTGAAATCAAAAAAGTGGATCAGATCTCTGGGAAAACTTCCAAGAGAGAACCATGCGGATTGCCCCGGGTACCCCTTCCATCCATTTTCACCAGAGCCCCTAAAGAGTTACCAATTGACTTTTACAATGCCAAATGGTTTGCTCAACTCAACCCAGGCCAAAAGCGACTCATCCCGAATGCTGGACAAGTGGCTTTTCTACATGATGTGTGGGAATCTCTTCTTCCTACCCAACACCCCAATGAGAGACTTCCAGATGCCTTTGTCACAGCCAAATATCTCAAAAGTCTATCTGAACCATACAGAGGCACTTTGTATGAACTTGATGAAGATACTGATTACAAAGACAACAATGATGAGGAACGGGGTTCAAATGGAATGGACATCCCAATCTCTGCTACAAACATGCCAACTTCCAATGAATCCAAATGTTACTGTGATGGAGATGTTGGCTCTTTATAGAATTCCACTGATGAAGATGTCTCTCAAGGCCCTGCTGATGATGCTGATATGGATGCGTAGGCTCACATGTGCCTGGGTTCTGGAGCCAAAATGATACGGGGTGCTCTATTCTTTTCTCTATTACCATGTGCTGTAACTGGTATTCCTTGGATTTCTCTTCATTTTACTTACCTTGTGCGTTGTTTCTAGTTATATTTATCCTCTCTGATGTTGTGTCTTATCTGTCTTTTCATTTCATGTTGTGTGGTTTCTGTTATTGTGTTCACATACTTGTTTGCTGCTGACACCACCAACATAGATGCCTCGGATCTCCCGATCCGAGGCATCGTCGGATGCAAATCCTCGAACGGATCTTATCCGAGGTTTCTGTCCGAGGTATCATTATGCGCCCAAAATTACCTCGGATCAAAACCTCGGATAGCTTCTGTCCGAGGTTTCAGATCCGAGAACGCCTCGGATTTCCCAATCCGAGGTTAATATGCTGGCAGTGTGACCATATGTGCAATGTCATTCATAAGTTCAGAGCAGCCAGGACCGCAGCCCTCCACAAAAGAGACCACCCGTATGTCAGAGCTTGCATGGATCAGTGCTTCACTTGTGGAAGGTTTGGCCATTGCAAACCCCTCACCAGCTGCATCAAATCAGGTGCCGCTCCATTTCAAAATTGGTGTCGCACGTCAAATGGTCTATTGTACAGTATGGACAAGTTGAACATGAGCCCTGAAGGTCTAGCAAAGGCAAGAATTACTGAAGCGCTTGGTAAGTGATCCTTCCGCTCACACTGTATGCCGTTAAATGATACTTGATCTGATGGTGATATCACCTTTTATGCATTGGCAGAAGACCCCTTGGAAAATATTCCTATGGTCCTGACAGCCAAAGAGGTGGCGGCCCTGGACGCTATTGAGACAAATGATATGTTGTTGTTATGAATTGTCATACTCAAGTTTAACTTAAACTGACAATGTACTGCTTTTGCTCAGCCTCACAATCCAGTCAAGAAAGTAAAGCAATAGGGGTTGGCCAAAAACTGACCAACCAGTTTTGCGCCCTTGAGAAGTAAATTGAAAATGGCCAAAGATGGCCAAAATCAACTGGGTGCAGGTTTCACAGACCTGTCGCAGTGCCGGGTCACCCAAAGAGACCCAAAGTCAGTCTTTGGGTCTGATTTTTCTCCTCCAGCCCCACCGATAGCTCAGCTTGAAGAACTCAGGCAAGTTTTTGCACCTTTTGCGGATCTTTAAAAGGTGCAAAAAGGGTGTTTGCGAGGCTTGTGGCGCCGCAAATTGATTTCCCTGTAGGAGCTTTTGAACGGTTATAGTGGTGGCATGATCACAAAACCAATCATACCAGTCAACATTTTTGGAAAGCAAAAAGATAGATAAAAGGGGTTGGGCAAAAAACTGGTCAACCAGTTTTGCCAATTTGAGAAGTTGGTAGAAGAGAGTTGAAACAAGTGCAGGTTTCACAGATTGAGTGGGTAACATTGAAATCGTCTCAAATTGCATCAGAGCTGCGCATTGAGGGAGGTTAGGCAATACCTAGGTAAGTTTTGGATAGAAAATTTGAAGCCATAGATGTGGGAAAGGTGAAAAGTGTTGTTTGTGTGGCTTGTAGTGGCACATATTGCTTTTCATTTTTATATTGGTTGGGCTTTGGAATGATCAAGAACACTTCTCACCGGTTTACTTTTGGTGATTATTTTGCAAAGCAAAACAAACAACCAGTTTTTTTGTTGGCTTTCATATTGTTTTAGCAATTGCTGAAGGACTTTCCTGAGC